TATATATATATATATAATTTGATGTTCCACTCTGTCGGTCTGCACGTCACAAGAACTCACCAATTCCTTTTTTAGTTGAACTGTTAAATGCCAAGTAATGAATATAGTACTTGCGCTCAGACTTCACTTATCTGTCGTGTCTGCAGTACCTTATACACTGAGTGACACAGCGGCACAGACGTCTTCTCTTCTGTGTTTTATGATATATTTTAATTTGTAATGTTATGTAATGTATTATATTTGTAAACGAAAGCGCATTTTACTTGAGATGATTGTCTGTAATCTTATTAACTTTTCCCGAATATTGTAATGAGCAACACAATTCAGACTTAAGTCTGCGAGTTGTTTAATAAAGACTGAATTGAATTGAATTGAATATACCATTTGATCGTGGCGACTGCGCACAGGCTTCGGAGAGCGGCAAACTGTTCTCCCCAGCAGCCAAAATCCCCTGGCCAGTTATCTCTTTATTTGGCCGATTTTTACTCTTTCCAGCCGCCTCCAGCCGATTTTTTTTTGGGGGGGGGACTTTTCTTTTATTCTCTTGTATTAAAATCTGATTTCTTTTAACTTGTTATTTTTCAGAGTTTTCTTCCTGGAGTCAGATGTGTGTTTTGGGACTTTGAGGCCGAGGCAGGACAAGGGGCGTGGTCAACTGAGGGGTGTGAGAGTATGGGCGAGACAAAGGGACGGCACACGTGTGCCTGTAACCACCTTACTAACTTCGCTGCAATCTTTGTAAGTACTTACTTGTACTTAATTAGTTCTCTTCAGGTTAGTGAGTGGTTTGCGTCAAAGTCATTCTCCATCCTGACCCATACTTGGCGGTCGTGGGCGATTATCTTTAAGTCCCCTAGAGTCCGACTGGGATGGCGCATAGTCATCCTGACAATCATCCTCTAGTACGCAAGCTAGCCAGGTCTTCTTCGGTCTTCCTCTGGAGCTTTTCCCATAGTTGGGAGTCCATTCAAGCAGAGGCTTGGGTAGCCGCTCATCAGGCATCTTTCTTCAAGCACGTAACCTAATTTTTTTAGTCTATTTGTTACTATGCGTGTTTCAATGTCTCCTGTCTTTGCCTTCTTATCTTTGTAAGTAACGACACAAAAGTCGATAATTCCAAATTGCATGCTGCTGCTCCGAAAATCACAACAGATCTGCAGCTTTAACTATTAATGCACAAGCATATTCTGTACCCTGAACCTTGCATTTGTAACGTTTTGGGTTGTGATGTTTTCAGGATGTGTCCGGCGAGGGGTTTGGAGATCACGAGAAACCGCTAGAAGTCATCACTATTGTGGGCTGTGTCGTCTCCATCGTTTGTCTGGTGCTCACGTTACTCGCCTTCATCGTCACAAGGTTGGGCATTTTTCCGTCTCGTAAACGGTCGATGCCATTTCGCTGAATGATCGATGCCATATCCGAGCGTACCATATCTTTTTTAAAAGGAATAAAAAAAGGAATAAAAAGTAATATCTACTATAAAAAAGCAATATCATAATTACAAATGTAAGGGAGGGTCATGTAGAATTGTAAATATTAGTGAAACAACAAGCACAATTGTAAATATTAGTGAAAAAAAAACACAAGCTCGGATTCGAACGCTGGTCTAAAAGTATAGCTCTAGATCCGTAACCTATACCCTAACCTCTACGCCACGAAACATTACTGTATGGATGGACCGTGCTGATCATGACACTTAACCCTATCTAGACCGGGGGGGGGGGCTTAAAGTGCCCGCGGCAACTTTGATGTCACCTAGCGTCTGAACGGTTAAAGTTAGAACCGCCAAATTTAGTGACTTTTCTTAAAATATTGTTGGCAACAAATCTGTATCAGTGGAATAAGATTATGATTTTTCTTGTTGCCATGGCAACGGGTTTCTGACAGGCATTTTTTGCCAAATTTAATTATTTCCATTTAAACAACAGAATTTTATGGGTTTTATGTCAAGTTACACATTGTTTCTAACATTAATAACATCACATATAATTATATGTAAATTTTATCATTAAAAATGCATAATTTATGCTAATTTGATGACGTCATTGGCCAAAATCCAAGATGGCGGACCATATCATTCGATCAGGTAAATACAGCTTATTTTCCTTAAAATTTCATCAATACTCTCATTTTTTTTACAAAAAAGGTTCATATGAATGTCTTTAGTCTGTTTACAATGTATTTTAGGCTTCATCCTGAAAAAAAAACTATTTTTCAAAATTCAAGATTGATGATCCAAGATGGCGGATATGTAATATATGCATGACGTCATTTTATGACGTCACCGGTGTTGCTATGGGCAACATAAGACTAAGAACATCCTAATATTCTGTCATAAACACTTTTGGTAAAGTTATGTCGTATACTGTTTAGTTTTTAGGGAATAACCTATCTAGACGGTTTTGGCCAATAAAATCACATTAATGACGTCATAATGACGTCATATTACGTCACAACGACATAAAAATTGTACGTATGATAAATTTTTACTAGTACATCATCCTCTGAAAATTTGGTGGTCCTACGATATACCGTTCTCGAGTTCTGACGGGGGGGCCGAATGAGCGCCCCCCCCCCGGTCCCACCAAGCCCAAAAAAGCCCGGTCTAGATAGGGTTAAAGTTAGCCGTTCTGTGATATGGCATCGGCCGTTCTAAAAGGTGGCGACCGTTTACGAGACGGAAATTAGCGTAGGCTACGTCTGAGAGACTTGCATGCTGGTTGTAACAGTAATAGGGTAGAATTACTGTGAGTACTGTTCTTTGCTACAACCAGTGTAACTAGAGTCCCACGATCTCATGCCTTCGTCAAATGACGTTATCTCTTTCAACTGACAGCTTAATGTCTCTCATTGAATGTGCCAAAAATATCCTCATTTGAATGGATTGTATCAGATGACCAAATTCTGCGCCCGATGAAAGGTATTCTAACATTTCCTCATAAATTATGCAAATCAAGGACATTATCCCTGTGCATATGAATACTTAATGATGTTAACACTTATTTAACCCCTTAAATGCCTAAAGTATGATACTTCCAGCAGTTTACCTCTACCATCATGACTTCAATGAAAAGTGTCTTGCATGCCGATTTGAGCTTTAATTACTAGTAAAAAAAGAATGATTCAAGCAATGAAACAAACAAACCACAGGATTCATAGCATTTTATGTTCAATTATGCATTACCCATTTCACAAGTTTGAATAATCCTATTAGGAAACGCTGGAGATTTAGAGAATTTAATGCGATGTTAGTAGAGGTTCCGTGTTTCGGATTCCGAGAAAGAAAAAACGGTGCCAGTAGAGGCCCTCAGGCATGAGAATAGGACTAGGAAAAAGGAAAGGGTTAATGTACTTCGTATTCCAGTATAGACTTAGTGTCATTAGAAGTCACATTAAAAGTGGTTCTAAATTCCAGGAAATACGAACTCCGTGTTGGTGAACGTCATCAACGCCGAACCAAAACAAGTCATGCTAAAGACCAGCCGATCGTTCTCACTAACCTCTGCGTGGCTCTGTTGGCAATCCTCGTCATCTTCCTCGCTGGCATCAACCGGACGGGTTCTCCCATTGTTTGTAAGGTTGTGGCAGCATTGCTACACTACTTCCTATTGGCTGCCTTGATGTGGATGGCAGTGGAAGCGATCAACGTATACCGAGCCGTCGTGCAAGTGTTTGACTCTGTTTCTGGACACTTCCTCATCAAGGCTGGAGCTGTAGCGTGGGGTGAGTTTTTGCTTCTTCCCATAATCAGTAAACCATATTAAATGGTTACTTAATTCCACTTGGTCCACGCACACGATAGGTGTACTTCTCGGTGTATTTCTTCTGATGTCTGTGTTCGTGTTTATTTGGTGTGTTTGTCCAGGCTTTCCCCTTGTCACTGTGCTGTCCACTGTCGGACCCTCAGGTTTCTACCAATATCGGATGGAGAAATTGTAAGTAATATATTATATTCAAAGACGTGGCGATGATGTCTTACTGTTGTGCTTTAAGAAGTATATTTATTCTGTGGATATTTCAAACATGCCATCACCGGCATCAGTATTTCGGAAATCTCTCACATAGGATTGATGTTATCGCAATTGGGATACACCAGGCATTACACAGCACTGTACACATAGAGTCCACATTAATATATACATTTACTGTGAAACCTGTAATGCATAACTTTACATTATATGGCTATTTTTGTAATAATACTCCAAGATTTTTTCCATTTTGTGGAAATGCCGAGTAGACTGTATTTTGTCCCCATGTGTGATATTGTCTTCTGAGTGAAAAAGTATCGGTAAAAAGATGCCAGGAAAAAAGCTATATAAATTAAACATATCTAATTGTTTGTTTACAGTTGCTGGCTGGCACGTGAACCTCTGACTTACGCCTTCTTAATACCAGCGGGTCTCATCCTACTGTTCAACCTGCTGGTCTTTCTCTTGGTCATGTACAAACTTGTCCGGAATGAAGAGAAAAGAAAAGAATTAAGAGGTAGATATATATGACGTATGTGCGACAGGTACGCACGCACACAGTCACACACACACACGCACACACACACACACACACACACACACACACACACACACAGACACACATATATAAATATATAGATATATATATTATGCATATATGCATATTAAGACGTACACATGCACACATAAACGCACATAAATATTTAGAGGGTTTTGTTTGCTTTACAGGTGCTGATGCTAACGAGGTAGATCATCAGTGGATAGCCCGCCAAATTCGTCGATCCTGCAGCATCATGGCTCTGTTTGGTCTCACATGGCTGTTCGGCTTTTTCGTCATCGATGACACGCGCACGGTCTTCGCCTACCTGTTCTGTATCTTCAACACCCTCCAGGGCCTCTTCATCTTCATATTCCACTGTGTGATGAGAGCAGACATGAAGGCGTGGTGGAAGAAGCACATTTGCATGGCAAAGAAGAATCAGGATCAGACCGTGTCTTTTGAGATGGACACCAAGTGTTCGGCTAGAGAAACGCCGCAGCCAGTATCCATTGAGCTAAGCCCTTTGAAACCTAACCCTGGGCCGCTGTAGTAACAATCATGTCAATGTGTCCATAAGGTAGCTTGTGGTGCAACATTGCGTTTTCACATGCATCAAGACATAAAAGTATAGAAAGACATGAAGACATAAACAAAGTAAATGATATTATGTTAAACAGTACACGGAAAACTACATAGAAGCCAAGATTGTCACAGCTAAGTTTTGTAAAAAAAAAGTGAAATGCCGCCTTTAACCCTATTCAGACCGGGGGGAGGGGTTGAGGCCCGCGCCCACTTTCATCTCGGATAGTGCCTGAACGGCTTGCGTTAGAACCATCAAATTTGGTGACTGATCGTAAATAATATCTGGCAACAATTTCATCATACGGTAATTAGGTTCCTGTTTTTTCGTCTAAAGGACAGTTTCTAAAAAGTCAGTAATTCTGGTTCAAACAGTAACATTTTCTACGTTCTATGAACATCTTATGTAATTATATGTAATTTCTATAATTAAATATTTATTATTTATGCTAATTTGATGACATAATCTGTCAGAATCAAAGATGGTGGACCACATAACAAGCTCTTGTGTAACGGTTTCTAACCATGGTGTTTTTCACTAATTTTTCGTCTGAACTCGTATTTTCGTTTCTTTTTTTTTTCAAATAAAATGTTCGTATGGACATCTCTAGTCCGTTCACCTTAAAAAATGCAATTTTCATGATTTCCGATCCAAGATGGCCGACAGCTTAAGCTAAATATGCTTGACCTAATTTCATAACGTCATTTTAACATCAGTTTTGTTGCCAGGGGCAACACAAATGATATCCCATCATAGACACTTTTTGTTAAAGTTTGCTTGTATTTCCCTGAATTTTACGGAAACCGTTTTACCCCCCAAAATCATATAAATGACGTCACAGTGACGTTATATGACGTTTTTTACGCGAAAATTTGGGGGCCCTACGATAAGTGGTTGTTGAGTTACATGGAGCGTCAAAAGCCCCCCCCCCCCCCCCCCCGCGGTCTGAGCATGCCCATAAAAAGCCCGGTCTGAATAGGGTTAAATTAAAAAAACAAAACAAATACATCTACAAAAAAGCAATTGCTCAACAAAGAATAACGAGCTCATGTCTTAAGTGTTCATTTAATGAATCATGATATTGAACTACATGATTAAAAAATTAGAGGTACAATTCTAAACAAAACGCGAAAGCTATGCACGGTACTGAGACTACATACGAGGGGTGATCCAAAAGTTCTCGGCCTCATCTAGAAAATAGAGGTCAAACGCGTATTCTTTGGTACAACGTCTTACATCACTGCCCACAAAAATGCAAATTTTTACATTCATTAATTAGCACGTGACGCCCCGTGAAAGTGGTGCAGGTGAGGGCAAAATCATAAAATGGCCGCACCAGAAGCGTGTGCTGTGATCAAGTGTATCGATAAAAAGCTATGTCTCCTAGGGAAATCCATAAAGACATGATCAAGTCACTTGGTGATGACTCACCTTCTTATTTAACCACAAAGAACTGGATTGCTAGCTCTAAGCGCGTCAAGGAGAGCACAAAAGATGAACATATGTCAGGATGCCACAAATCAGCACCATGGACAATCCAGTTGAGGCCATCCATCACATGGTAGTAAATGACAGATGTGAGACTATCCAACATGTAGCAGGTTCATTTGCCTGACTTGTGGTACAGTTCCCAGTGTTTTGTCAGACATCCTTGGGATGAGCAACCTGTCTGCATGATGGGTGCCTAGAATGTTGTCTGAGCATCACACGTTAAACAGGCTGAGCATTTCAAGGAACGAATTCAGTCCATCAAGGCAACTTACTCAAACGATTTGTCACCAAATATGAGACATGGGTTCACCACTTTCACCCCGAATCAAAACAGCAGAGCAAATAATTGATGAAGAACGGTTCCCAGCATCCCAAGCGAGTTTTACCCGTTGAAAAGGTTTTTGCCTCTGTTTTCTGGGACAGTAAGGGGGTAGTGACGATTGACTACCCGCAAAAGGGTCAAACCATCAATGGGTGTACTGTGCACCAGATTTGCGGCATTTGAGGGCAACAATCACAGAGAAACGGGGAGAAAAGCTCCGAGTTGACGTGCTGTCAATGCACCTGTCCAAACAGCACAGGGGTCAGTGGCAGCTGCAAACGAATGTGGCTTTGAAGTCTTACCCCACTCTTCCTATTCACCTGACCTAGCACCGTGGGCCTTCTACCTGTTTCCTAAACTCAAGTTCCACTTACGTGGTCAACGTTTTGATGGTGATCGATGATGGCGTCATTGATGTGGTTTAGGCATTTTTAAGGGCTTCAGACGAAATATTCTTCTACAAGGGAAAGGAAAGCTGGAACATCACTGGACCAAGTGCATTGAAGTTAGAGGAGACTATGTTAAAAAAAAAGTGTAAGAAAAATTTTTTTGCCATTACGTTTTTTGGGAGAGGCCTAGAACTTTTGGATCACCCCTCGTACATGTAAGCAGAGTGGATGATTATTAATCAACTGACTAGATATTTATTCGAATAGAAAAGGCATTTGTGATAAAGGGAAATTATGAAGCTCAATATAAACTGAAAAATCGTAAACAGAACTGAAATACTCCGTTCTTGGGCTCAATTAGCTATAGATAGCGATTGATTCCTCTCTGTACGGAAAAGATATACAGAGACAAAGATATGACGATCAGATAATAATTATCAATTGTTAATGCACAAGGTTTTGTCAGTATAATGGTATCGTTTATTCCTTTTAAACGTTGGCTGTATAAAAAGTTACAGAAAACATGGTGAGATAAGATGACTGACGGTGTCTAGGACTTGTTAACGTTCACGTTAGTTGGCTTATTTTTCATGTTTGTAGTTCTGAAACCTTACATTTTCTTTATACTATAGATAGACCTACATAATATAAAGTTTTACCTATGATAGCATGGCAATTAGTGGTTCGACCAATGAAAGAGTGATAGCCAGTGTCCGTGAAATATTTGCATTTGCATGTGTTGGTCGGAAAATCAGATTAATAAAAAAATCAGAAACTTGGATTTTATTGGTAATTTCCCGCGAATAATTCATTCGGGGGGGGGGGGGCTTTATTGGGGACCAGAGCACATCACGTGCACATCACGTGCATCAATTTTTTTAGGTTGGCGAGTCATAGTCGTTGCGTGACGACCCAATGACATCTACTCCAAACAAGAAACAAACATGGCGTCACAGCATGGCCGATGCTATCCCATCAAGCATTGCGTTCAGGTTGGCGTCGTTGGAAATCAATTGATTATACGATGTATGTTATCCGGCACAATTCACAACAATATGAGACAATGGACAGTCACACAGAAAGTGCTAGTTTTTTTTTTATATTATTGATACACTGATCTACTGTTTATTTTACACTACAAGTTTCCACATTAAGCCGTTTTAGTAAAAAAAAACATATATTATTTTCTCGACTGTAACTGATTAAAATGAATAAAATCATGTAAAAAAATAAATATCAAAGCATGTCGGTGTAAACCAATAGCAAATTTTAATACAGTACCATGAAACACGGGTTCTTGGTTTATAGCATGCGTCAGAGGTGGGGCGGAGGGCCATGGAGGGGGGGGGGGCATGGCCAAAAAAGGCTGAACGGACTATCAGCGCACCAGCGCTCCCCCCTCCGCCCAGTAAATATCGTACAGTCCCTAATTGCAAGCGTAGGCGTGTCTTCAGTTGCCAACATCTAAAGAAAGACAATTATAATTGTTGCATATGACTTGTTTACCATTATCATGCAATTTCTATGTTGTGAAACTTCAGAAGAGCCATATTATCACAATTTCAAAAAAAATTCTGTTACTACGTTACAGGGGCTTGTTTAGTTTCCATTCATTTCGACATTTCTAGTCCCTGAACATTTGACTTTATCGACAACCTTGCGCAGGTTAGACATGTACAGTAATGTTTATATGACGTATTAAAGCTCGTGTGTAAAAAACTACTGTAGGCGTCCAACTGTCGTTTGTTCTTTAACATCTGAAACATTTATTACTGCATATAACTTGTTTACAATCATTTTTCAACTTTTCATGCACCAGACAAATTAAGTTGTGTGGGCGAAGTATTTACGTGAGCTAGGCGGGGTCCGTTATTCCGCGTAACACCTGTTACACAATGAGCGCAATGGCAGAAGAGCCACGTCAGGATAAGCCGGTATCATCTTCAAGGCCATGTCTCAACACATGTATGTTTCAATCCTATTCAATTGTTGAATTTTTGTTACCACTGCCTTGAAGTTACAAGAATATGTTTATAGAATGCAAAACTTGTTGTTTGCTTTGTGAATGGTTGGACAATGTGTTCGAACGTGTCTGTATTTACTAAAAAATATCCGTTTGTACAGGGATGGAAAACATCATTACCGACACGAGTGACGATAATCCTAAAGGACATGATGGCGAGAGGGATGACACCAACACTCCTGCACAGATTGATGACACAAAGAACAAACATACAACCGACATAGAAGATGGGGGCGCATTTCCCGTACCTGTAGGCCGGAACATCATTGGATTGGTTGACAACATGATGTACGCGAATGATTCCACCCAACAAGCTGGACATTCAGGTATTCTTTATCGCTTTTATTATATTGTATTGTATTGATTTATTTCTTTATTGTGTTCCCGTGCCCCCCTCCCCCCCAAATTGCCAAATGGACCCCTGGGATGGCTAAGGCCGACAGGGTATTCCAGTCTTAATAAAATCTATTCATTCATTCATATATTGTAGTACATATTGCATCGAGAAAAACCGCACTTTTAATACATCATGATAATAAGTAAAATAATGTACTAGCAAGAAAGGTACGCTTCCGAAAAGTGCATTATTTCTATTTTTCAGCATATACTAGTATCGTGATATATCGCAAAATATTCTGAATTTCGGAAGGGTCCATGCATAAGCGTTAGAGTTCATCCATTTTTTGATAAGGTGATGTGATAGTACATTTTTGGATAAAGGTTTCTATGATCTACGCTAAGAAAG